ATGGCTGGACACACACTGCTGATCTGATGTGCCTATGGCTTAACCCTGCAGGACTCTTAAACATATCAGTGCTTACTGTATGACTAGAAGAGTAAGTCCCCCCCCCCCCAGTCCTCTGATCCATTCAGCTGAAGTGTTCTTGGTTGTTCTATTATTCCATTAAATACCTTCATTCCAAATATAACCTTGGCTGGAAACAAAAGGCACTAGAATTCAACGCACTAGTATTCCTTGGGAACTAATTCACATCTCATGGTTTGCTTAATTATGCAATAATTAATTGAATAAGCCACAAGCAGATGGGTTCACCTGACATACTAAACCAAAACCAAATTTTGCCTTAGTGCAATATTGTGAACGGGACGATAGGGGTTTATTTCCGAAGAAATATTCCAGGATAGAGTTAAGTATAATTCCCTTTTAAAGTCTGCCAACGTTTCATAGTGTTTGTACAGTAAAAACAACTTGATAACAAAACATTTTTTCACAGTATTGTTTAAAGACATTGATGTCTACTTGGGTAAGAATGGGTTCTGAATGTAAAAAAATGTTCCTTTCCAATTAGTACTGCACATAAAAAATTACATATCACTTCTCAGGGATATGTAATCCTTTGAAAAGTGTTAGTGATGGAGACACACACAAGGTTGAAGAAGCTCTATGGTCAGCCTACTATTTTATATTTTTAAAAAAGATATTGGGAATGCTAGCAGCCCTTTAAGTTTCTCTTTAGAGAAATAACCAAATATAATTTTGGGTCAGCAGTCTGCTAATTGATTCCCCCCCCCGCTAAAAGAAGCAGATCATAGTAATTTACTGTACAGATCCCACACAAAGAAGTCTATGTGAAAGTTGATAAAATCCATAGTAAAGTATAGAGTCATTAATTTAAGTCTTAAGTTCATAAAAAATGAACTGAAAATATATAATTGATACCAAATTGAGAATTCAAATATTAGATATAGCTATTAGATCAGAAAATGATAACTCTAGCGTGTGGGTGGGTAGTTTGTATGTGTGATAAGTAACATCTACAGGATTTGGGGGTTTGGCCTAGCCAAAGACTCATATTTCAGCATTGAATGAAATAGGTAAGTTAGGATTTACATCTTTACTTCCAAAATAATTGGCAAGATATAGAAGTAGTTGTCATTTTTTATGGCAATTCCTGTGACAAACTCATAAAGAATAAACATAAAATAAATCTGTGAGTCTTAGTTACCCTGTGCCTTTTTCATACTAATATCCCCTAAAGTTTGTCATTCAGATTTGTCACTGAAAGTTATCCTTAGACAGTAATCCCACTGAGATAAGTCTCACCAAGTACATTGTTATTTATTTTTGAGTAAATCTGTTTTAGAGCTATTATCCTGTTTTACTGATGAACTACATTCTGTGCTTTGCGAGTTGACTTCTAAGATATTCCCTGAATACAACAAATATATGTATAGGACATCCAAGCTTCCCAATCAGAAGCTTTTTCAGAAAGTGAGATGGGTCATGATACCATAGTTAAAGTCAAAATATAACATTTTAGCACCTTAAATTTCAGGCAGGGTACCTGCTGTGCAAAAAGTTTTTTGCCACCTCTTCCCTTAATTTTATTTGCTAATTTTTAAAATTGAGCAAAAGTTAAGACTACATGAGATGTTTGGAATAAGCATGACTGCTTTTAATACATCATATCTATCAATGAAAGTAAGATCAGAAAATCATTAATACAAAGAATCATTTATTTTACAAAATTCAAGTAGTTTTCACTTACTGGCCACAACTGGAAGCAGCAACTCCATTGCTAAGTAGCAGAGTCAAAGTGAAATGTCACATGATTGTGAATGATTCACAACATCAGTTGGTTAGTTCCAGTTGTGGTCATTCAGCAACCCACCATGAATTGTTAAGTTACAATGTCACATGACCCCAATTTGCGACTCCTGCCAGCTTCCCCATTGACTTGTCGGAAGCCAGATGTGAAGTTGCAAATGACCGTCATGTGACCAGAGGAGGCTGTAACCATTGTAAAAGTGCACAAGTTGTCAAGTGCCTGTAACTTAATCATGTGATTGTGGGGACACTGTGATGGTTGCAATTTCAAGGACTGGTCTAAGTGTTGTAATTTTCAATGGTCAGTAAACAAATGGCCAATAAGCAAAGACTGCAAGTGTATTTTATTCAAACAGTGAGCAATAGTAAACATATGATAAAAAATATATATAATTTCAACTTTTAGAGAACTGCCAAATTGCAGTCAGGAGGCAGTCAGCAGAAGTAGCCTGCAGTACTGCACTTTAACCACTGTGCCACCGTGGCTCATATATTTGCTAAGTAATCCGTTAAATACTGCAACATGATGCAGACCAAAAGATCTTAGTGCTGTTAGTTTGCATGTTGTATCTTTAATTGATGTACAACTTCAATTATAATGTAAAATCTGACATAAGTGAGCACATACAGTTGGTATTTGGAATGGGGAATTGATTTTTAAAATGTAATTTTCCTCCCAACCACCGCCACCAACAATGTATGTTTGTAGCACCCAACTTGTATAGTTCCTTGTGACAGCCCTGTGTTCAGAAAACTCTTAATTATTTTTTCTCATTACTTCTCTTTCTTATATGAGCCACAGTGGCACAGTGGTTAAAGTGCAGTACTGCAGGCTACTTCTGCTGACTGCCTCCTGACTGCAATTTGGCAGTTCAAATCTCACCAGGTTCAAGGTTGACTCAGCCATCTATCCTTCTCAGGTGGGTAAAATGAGGACCCAAATTGTTGGTGCAATGTGCTGACTCTGTAAACTGCTTAGAGAGGGCTGTAAAGCACTGTAAAGCGGTATAT